AAATAGGGAAACGACTGCCATGTTCATATTCGATTCGACTATTCGGCTTTAGGCTAAATTTCTTTAACATACAACAACGACAAAACCGAAGCCAACCTGATGAGACGGTGAGAGCGCCGCAATCTGCCACGGTTCCATCCGCTCTCTCATGTCGCGTGTCACTATCGTGTTCAGATGGGGAACGTCTACCATGACCTTAATTCACGAACACCATAGAACGGTTCACCTAATGCCTCACTCTTCGGAATTTAGGCTGTGATTGAACTTGTCTCCAGTACAGCGGTACATCTGGCCAGAACTTTGGCCTAGGTAGTATTCTGACGCTAAAAGGACGGAATATTACATCTGCATGAAAGGAAGGTGCCTTGCGCTCACGTCATGGGCTCCGAATTTGCGGGCCAGCTCTAGCGCCGGCTTCAATAGCACACGCATCAGGAGCTTTCGCGCCAAACAAATGTGATATTCGTGTTCAGGAGGACAGACTACCGCTCGGACAAGCTTTCAGTACTTTTCCTGTTTCAAGATGTTTTCGCGCCGGCCTCTGTGAAGCAGGAGCCATGCAAGTTCAAGCCACAGCGTTGGGGGGGGCTCAAAACGTACAACTAACCCAGGAGACGAAATTTCAGTCAACTCTACCTGCGGGGTAGAACTTCGATCAAAATCAGCACTGAATTTTGAGGGGAGAAGCAGTTAAGAGATAGAGTTGAGCCAACAATCGAGATTGTGGGAGTGCACCTAATTCGGCTAACAACAGAAGGACTTTTACTTTTTTATGCAGTCCACCGCAAAAGGTTCGCTCGACATCTGTCAAGGTCAAATTGGAAAGATCAAGGGACTAAGTCCAGCACTAGAGCCAAAGTTCCGTGGACACACCGTGCCAAAGTTGATTATTCTACTTTGTAATCACTGCCACAGTCTCACAAAGTACAGCAACCGAACACGACGCGTTCAAGGATAATGCAGGCTTCTTATGTGCAACCTTGATGTAGCAGTTTGGCTTGGTGGGGGCGAATAGTACTCAACGAAGCACGTACATGCCACCTTGTAAAAACCTGCAAATTTCCGCAATCAAAATGGCTCTGTTGCACCATCTCACAGATTCGCAAAGGTTTACTGGTCCCACCACAGTAAGACCTGCCAATCAACATGAACTTGTATAAAGAACTAGCGGATTTGTGAAATGTCCTCCTCACTTCCACCCCTTAAACCAAACAGGCTTGGATAAACAATTGTAAAAAGATGAAATAGTTAATGATGGTGATCTGGTTCTCCTTCCTTACCTCCCAGATGAGAGTTTGGAGCCTGTCGACCAGCTTCTCCTTCTCTGATGTATACTGAACAAAGGCCCATCTCCCACGACCAAGAAAGACGCTAATAGCCGAGAAATGTGACCACTGTTCCGGGGAAACCACAGCGATGTATACTTCCAAAGCATCGGACGACAGATGGCGATCGTTCTCCAAAGAATGAAGATCTCTGAAAGGAATTTTACTTAGGCAGCGTTCAGAGCTCGCGACGACGCGCTGTAATGCCTGTCAACGCACTAAAATTGCAATGGCGCTCCAACGCGCCATAGACAGGAATGCAGCCAGACCGGTATCGGTCCGCATCGGTCACTACGCTTTGAGAGAGAGTGGGAGAATAGAAAAATGCCACACCGTTGGTTCGGTAGCGCGTACCCTCGTGTTCTCCCATACTCTCTCACAACAGCGATATCCATCTATGGCAGCGTTTTCGTCTATAGCATTAGAGCGCGGTCACAACGGTAGGCCGCGGACGCGCGCTACAACGTGGCGTAGTGCGTCGACGCGCGTCATCACGAGGTCTGAATGCTGTCTCACTGTCCATCTAATAAATCAATTCCTCTATACAAATTGTTTCAGCGTTTGAAAGGCATAGAAATAGGCTCCCATACCTCAATCCTTCGGTTACGAAATTCCACTGAATACTTAACGGCGATTTCACTTCAACGTCGTTAAGGTGGGGTAGGACCATCTTTGCCTTATAATCCTACGTTCAGCCTCAATGCTATACATTGGTGACCACCAGCGTGAATCCTAACAACCTCTTGCCCATTAACACAAATTTCGAGAATGCCTGTGAGGATGTGACTGTTCCAGAATTTCCTTATGATGAATATGAGACGGGTAAGAGAATCGTAAAATGCCGCTTCGTCGCGCGCGGGAGCGGTGCTGTTTTTCGGTTGCGCGACGTTTCCCGCAAATCGCCGCTACCCTTTCGAATGGGGCATCGAATTCATCGTAACAAGCATATGCGTATCATTCTGTCCTATTTTGCCGTCACAATTTGTCATTCCCCTCACCAATACACCTAAAAATTGTCGATTAGCCAGGCGCCGACGATCGCAGCGATGCCCCACTGGCGCGGCGAAATTACGAATTCTCTTGCTTCCGTACCCGAATATTCCGCCTACCAATCAATAACTTCAGCATCTCTCAAACAACCCCAAATACAACGAGTACTGAACAAGACTGGGAGGACCTGCGCTGAATTTCGATTGAAGGAAACGAACGTGCTGAACCTATTGGACTACCAATTAGACCGGAGTCTTTCTGTATTCACGTTGCGGATTGATTCAATTTCTTCAATACCCAGTCGTGAAAGAGCGCTGTAAAACAAACTCGTGGCCTAAAGCGTAGAGAGGTGGACTTTGCAGGCAGTATTGCCCCTCAGCTACACAAACGTCAAATTCTGTTGACAACAGAAGACGCACTAGCTACACCACTTTTATAACAATCCTGTGAATTCCTCTATATTAACGTATATTAACATCGGGACAAACCCAGTATACTTATGAACAGATAGCCAAATCGTTTGTTCCTTCAGCGAAACGTATCAAAATTGTGCACGAAAGTTTAGTGGTATGCATACCCACAATGCGTCACCTAATCGAACACAGATTATGATGAAAACTAATGCCTGCCGACACGGCGGTATGGCCGTTTCTTTAGTATTTATGGAAACTTTCCTAGAAAAATAGATAGTGTATGTATTTTATACAATGACTTAGGATCACGAGATCAACTTACTGGTAATCTCTCTATGACCTCACTCATATTTTTGGGTGGATTCTCTTCGCCTGGCTTGATCTTTGCGGGATCTATGCCTAACAGGCCCTTGATCTTGCATAGCAGGCCACTCATCGCTACTTGTCCTCAGCCACTCTACGAACGTTTCCAAATTCTGGAACACTACAACTTGAAGCTTACTGAAAGAATACCTAACGAAAACACCTTGAAACAAATGGAGACAGTCCCTTCTTTGCTTTCGGGTCATGAGCTTACTGAGAAAACGCCCGAAGAGCAGGACCTTCTATTGTCATCAATCCTATGACGTCAACTAACGGGGAAGGTCGTCAGGTCGAAGTGGCCATTTGTGATGAGATGTAGATCACTAGACGTGGTTTTGGACGCTGATCTTGAATCTGCCTTCAAAATTTGCAAAGCGATTCTCTGAACGGAGTTATGGAGCCGCGTTTACCACGCAACAGGTCATGGGATCGGATCCCTGCTGAGCTTAACTTTTTTGCTTTGTTGCGCAAGTGGCAAAAGTGATTTGCTGTCACTACTACTTCAGTTCTCACCTGAGCTTGTCTGGAAGAAAAGTTTGCCTCCATTTATTACTGCGCTTGGACTCCTCGTAGACTACAGTGCACTACAGAGCTTCTACAAGGATCCAAGCGCAGTAATAAATGGAGGCAAACTTTTCTTTAGGACAGCTCAGGAGAGAACTGAGCGTGTGACGGCAAAATACTTTATTGCCAACATTTTGCGCACAAGCAAAAAAGTTAAGCTCAGCAGGGATCCGATCCCATGACCTGTTGCGTGGTAAACGCGGCTCCATAACTCCGTTCAGAGAATCGCTTTGCAAATTTTGAAGGCAGATTCAAGATCAGCGTCCAAAACCACGTCTAGTGATCTACATCTCATCACAAATGGCCACTTCGACCTGACGACCTTCCTAGTACAGATGAGCCGGAACAGCGTCATTACACTAGATCCGCAGATAAAAATGCGCCTAGACAATAATGGAAGAGAATGCATTTCACAGAGGCGCTATTTCAATGGAAGTCACATTGAAAATTTAAGACAGCTATAGCCTTACGCCATTCTTGATAGCTTAGTAACCCTCTTTGTGGATCAAAAGGGCGCAGCTTGCCTGTGGGAATGAATGCATATTTCATGATAGCTTGAACGTGAACGAAGCGTAACGCGGATAATAAAAGGATGGAGTTACACGCTGAAAATAGTAATTTGGGGGAGGGAGGGAGCAGCATGCATTCGCCTTCCATTCAGAATCACAGTGCTTCGGGCACTCTACGGAAAAAAAACAGCAAAAAAAGAATGGAGAAATGGGACAGGGAAAGTGGTAGGAGCTGGGGGGAAATGTCGAAGATGCGTAGCTAGATAGGTAGAAGGCAGTCGAGCCAACAGACGGAATTCTTCCGAATGAGGGGGGGGGGGGGAAGGTGGGGATAGTCCTGATCCTCACATCACACATACGATGATGTACTCTGCCAAGGGAAGTCTCATTTGCAGGCATGAGTCGACCCTATATTCGACCCCAGGATAGCATAGCGGCGAGGTTTACTACTAGCCTTCGCCCCACATTACCAGTTAGTGCTGAAAGGCTGAATGCTGCTAGTTTCTCAAAAAAATACACTATTTCCGTCCATGAGCAACCTACGCATCCCTATAAGAGACTTCCTCTCTCAGTACTATGTCCCAATTGAATTCCAGCTAGTTAGCACGACAAAAGAAAATTTTTCATTCATTACCTGCGCCACAAGCCTATTACAACACACTTGCCTCAGACGAAACGACCCTACTCGGACATGCAGCAGAGGGACCCACCAGCGCGACGAGAATTTAAACACACAACACTGAAACTCTGCTTGCGAAATGCTATTCGCTAACATGAAAGTTCAAAGCTTACCGCTCGTACAATTACGAGCCAATCACATGTTCAACATTATATATTGCTGATACGTCGACTTCACTTTTATTCAAAATTAGAAACTCAATTTCACTCGGCGATTTTGCTTCTTTAGCCTCGAATAATAGTTGTTAAAGGGCGTTGTTCTCAAACTCCCATAAAAGATTTCTCTGTGCGAAACTGGGTGGCGAAAGAGGGTATTGCGGACTGCTTGCGCAAAAAACGGGATTGTCGTAATACCGTAGTGCTATTGCGATAATGCCGGTTATTAACGTGAAGAAATGCCGTTTTCTTCTAACGAAAAGGACTAGCCGAAAAAACACGATCACAGAGACACACAGCAGTTTATTTTTCTTCTATCAGGCGAACTCAGATACCTTCCCCTAAACAGAGAAAAAAAGGCCAGGGTGGGTGAATCAATTCCAAGTACGGTAATCCCCTTCGCTTAACAGCGATCCCAGATTTGCACTAAAAGTCTGTGAATTCCCCTTCCCAAGCATACTTGGTCCGATTGTCTTCTTAACACGATACATGCGAAGCAGGAGCGCTCTTCTAAATTTAGACGGGTTGAAAGCCCAGAATCAACGGACGAATTGAGCTAGCTTTGTATCGAAAGAACATGGGTAGGATTTTTAGGATTCTTCCGCGAAGCGGCCTTTTTTTGGAAATCTTGCGCGAAGCGCCCACCACACACTTTCCGCACACAATGGACCCCATTACATGCCCCGCCCCCAGATAACTCCGCCCCTCGTTGCCGCGACACAAGTTACATTGACATTAAACAATTATGCGTGAAAGAACGTTAGCAAAGCATGCGACACAAACCTCTTGCTCGGTGCGGATGCTGAGGCGAGTCAGAGGGCTGGGTTTGGCGCTACACAAGTCCACTTTTCACCAAAAGTTGCCGTTTTAACAACTGGTGGAGAACTGCATGGCGCCGCGCCAAACCCCGTCACCTTGCTATGCCCCAGCATTCCAGCGAGCAAAACTGTATTTCTCCTCAAATGACGACCTTCGCTGAATCCTCTACGCGAAATGAAGGAACTCTTCTGAAAGACTTATACCAAAGGCTGGGTTATACTCACCTTCACTCCGTAAGGATAGCCGGATGCTAATGCAACTACTCCTATGAGAAGTGATCCGCCCACACAAACACCAAACCAGTCCATAAACTTATAGATACATGCAGAACACTAGCAGTTGCCGACTTTCTACCTAGGAAAACTATTTCTGGACTACGAAAAAGTCCTCATACAGCCAGGGCACTTCCTGCCTAGAGGAAAATTCGGAAAATACGTTCTTCTCCCTCGAAAGTTCCCTCTCTGATACGACTCTCTCCATCTCTCATCCTATCTACTACAATCCTGCCGAACTTTCCAACTTTCCACAACAGTTCCGAAGTTTCCTGCGTTCACCCAGAGGAAAACTTGTCCTTCGATGCCGAGAGGTACAGGGGTTGGGGGGGGGAGGAGTTACCACACAGCTGAAACAGCAACAACCGAGGAAGTCAGGAACCGAAAAAACCTCTTCAAGACAAATTCGATCCCCCTCCCTCCCTCCGGTGATCAAATTGAACCGTCTCGGGGATTCCCAACGTACGACTTGCCCTGACTACACTTCACGGAACACAAATATGTTACTGGAAAGTACCAAACTGGACGTGTTACACAGCAAATTGCATCTGAATCATTTATTGAACTTAATGAGAATCAAAATTTGTACAAGAATAGCAAATTATATCACACAACTTGACAAACCATAATCATGGAAGGAAATACTGCAAAGGTTGACAGTAAAAGTTACACGTTTGCAACTTCATAAGTGTTTTTGAAAGAATCTGAAGGCCAAGGCGAGGCGAGCGGCGAGTTGCATAAGTTAGGCGAAAGATAACTCAGATCGAGTAAGCAAAAGAGGTACGCAAGTCAAATAAGTAATGTTTAGTAAGAAAAATTAAAAGAATAGAAACATAGAAATGCATGCAGTGAATCAAATCAATCATATCAACATTCCGCTATACCCTTTGAGTAGTGAGCTGAATAGCTGAGGATTCATGAACAATCCTCATATTTCATTGTTCTCAAAAGGCAGTACTCTGAAAGCTGACGGTGAAAGGAAATCCCAGTGA